TAATCAGCAGATAAAACAGGTGATTCGGTTATGCCAGTGGCTAAAAGAAATCACGCATGTTTTCTGAGGGTTGTGTTGTTTAGAAGACACATTTTCGACCTCAGACTGATAAAGGACTTTGAGATGAAAGAAATTCCTTATAAGAACTTGGGTCAATCTAGGTCATTTAAGGTGTTTTAACAATTGATAATTTAATTTTCCCACAATGAAATTAGTAGGTTTATGTCACCTAGCCTAGCCCATCATGGGATATTCCCATTAATTTTGGACTGCAATTTCGACACCACGACTCCAACGGGATTCGAGTCCAGTTTGCGTGACCAAAGTGACTATACATTACCAATTAGCCACAAATTATCATGGGCCATGGACAGAGCAGTTGTCGTAACTTTCAAAGCAAACCAGGCCGAAGCTATAATGGTAATGTAATGGTGAATACGAGTTAACCTCATCGCCAGTTTGCGCACGTGACCTGAGTTCAAATACTTTTGGACATTTGGATGAGATTCAGGTGAGGTAAAAAATGCAGGCCAATTCGGATGAAAATACGTTTTTGGAGGCAAGGCTAAGAGAAATTCAAGAGGAATGTAAATCCTACTTATTTCGAAGAAAAGCGCGAATAGGTAACACTTAATTCACTCAAAAGGACACACCACAACTAGGTTTAGAAACTTACTTCCTTTTAGCAAGTAAGAAATTGAGATAGTAAAAAGGGTGTTACGAGGATAAAGGACAGGTGAAAATCCCAGGACAGACTGAGAGATACCACAACTGTCTAGCAGACAATTAGTCAAAGGGTCAACTTCGCTTGCCACTTTGACGAGTTGTAGTGTGATGCTAAGAATGGCAAGACTCACTGACGATGCCGGCGAAACCTCTGGAAATGTACCAAGTCCACGGTCAACTCTAGAAACTATCATGCATACTCTAGACTCCGGACAAGGTGTGTTTCTCTAAACTTTCCTGCTAGTATGACCAAGTTGCGAAAACAAGGTCATACAACTTCCAATTTATTTCATTGTGGTCAAAGTCAACTGGCTGTCATTAAGTCACCTTAAACAACCTATAGCGACTCAAGGTCTTATTCAAGAATCATTAGTAATCTCAAAAAGTATTCCCAAATAAAAAACGCATATGCAATTTTTCAAATGTTGACTGTTGTACACTCACAGACATCGCGCGAAGGTAATGGGTGATCATTTCGAGCTTTCTTAGGGAATGTGTTACTTGCTAGATAGTCAAACTAGAGGCAAATAATGGTTTTAAAAAATTATCACTAATACGAATACTCTATTAACTTACCATAGACTTCTTCGGCTACTTCATATTCATCCTCATCATCTTCGTTCTTGTTTTCTTCCCTATTTGGTCGTTCGTCTTCTTTTTTGCTTTTAAAACCTTTAGCGTCGCTTCTGCCCTCCTTGGGCTTCGCCTCCACCTCTCGTTCCCTATTTTTATCCCACTCTTCAGGCTTTGCCTCGTCACGTTCCCATTGAGATTCCTTGCTGCGCTCCCTCTCGATTGCTTTCTTAATGAGACCCGGCATCAAGATAGCAGTGTGGCTGGGCTCAGAAATGGCCGAGAGTGGTGTTACTGTGGTTAGAGATGTTACAGATATTGAGCTAGTCGGACTA